TCATCATTGTTATTATAAAAAGTAAGTTATATTTACAGTTTTATCAGTACATAGATCCCTTGCTTTACACACTCGTGTTCTTTTTTTTGCCATTTCTTCTGCAATGATCAACCTTCATCTGTATTTCCATTTCTATTTGTCTCTTGTTTTCCAATTTTAACTGCTGCTCTCATCTGCAGGCAACTATGAAGAAGACCATGATCAAGGATGGTCTTCTTGATAAGCACGGAAAACCAAATGAAAACACTCCGTCAGATTGGTTGCACAATTATGTTGACTACAGAACGGTGAAAAAGGAACCTGTAGACAGTTTTGCAGCAGCTACACCTACCGTTGAAGCTACGCCAACAGTAGAACCCAAGAAGGTATGTTATTCTTTGAATAGTACTAAGTAAGACATAATGATGAGTGAAGGAGGTTCCAGATTGCAATATCCTCTGCAGAAGTAGTCATTCATTTGGATGGGTAACCAAACTATCGATGTCTGTAATTTTGAGATAATTCAACCAAGTTAGCACTGGGATGATTCTTACAAGCAAAGCTGGTCTCTTGAGTGAATGGGGTAAGAGTCTGATAGTAATGATGTTTGGAACAGTATCTATTGCAGGAGATACTAGAATGAGTTGTGAAGTATTTACATACAAGAAAAAGATGGATTTGAGAGTTGATTTGATGCAGTATAGGTAGCATGTGTCTTGTCTCTCTCTCAAATGAAGTTGTATTTATATGTTGAACTTTTCATAAATTACAGAGAAAGTTAAGTGAAGGCTCAGACGGCTCAGCAGCAGCGGAAACTCCTGCTGTAGATGAAGCACAAATAAAGAAAGAAAAGAAAAAGAAGAAGAAGAAGAAGAGGGACGAGGATGAGGAAGAACCAGAAGCAGCAGAAGTAGTGATCAAGCAGGAAGTGATTGAGGCTGAGCCTGAAGAAGAGGTATGGAATATGAGAACATTCTTTATTATTGTTTGTTGTTGTTGTTATTATTATTATTATCATTATCATTATCATTATCATTATCGTCATTGTTTTGTTATTATTATTATTGTCATTATTATTATTGTCTATTATTATTATTATTATTATTATTATTATTGTTGTTGTTGTTTGTTGTTGTTGTTATTGTTATTTATTGTTATTTATTGTTATTGATATTACTATTGTTATGTTGTTGTTGATAGTTTATACTTGTATTATTAATATCTAGTATATTTGAACATTTCTAGAAAATGTTTAGTAATGGAGACATCTTTAATGTTGGAAGGGAATTTTACTTTATTGCCCAGGTCTTGCTAGAATAAGAAAATTGTGGAGGGTTTTGCTTGAGTACAGAAGGTATGGAGTGTGTAAACTGATCAACAGAATAGACTCAGAGGGATTTTGTTGTATTTGTTTGGAATGTACTTTTAAGACTGATTTTCTTTGGAACTGAAATCACCAGATGGTATTCAGTTTCCCAGCATTATTTTTGCTGTTTCTTTGGGTGGAAGTACGACTTGCCTGTCACTGAAGCCCTCTTTGATCAACGTTAGTTCGCTGTTAACATTTTGTTTCTCTTTCAGAGTGGAGAGAAGAAAAAGAAGAAGAAGAAGAAGAAGAAGAAGGAAGAGCAAGAATCGGAATAGACATTCTGACTCGAGCACCTGGCCAGCAGATTACTTTGGCTGTGATGGAATATCTGGATAAACAAGAGAAAAAACTTTTATTTTACTTATCAGTTACTGTCGTTATAATTATTATTATTATTGAGAATATATATTTTTTTCTTTTCAAACATGCACTGAAATGTTGTGTGGAACACTCACCTGAGTCTACTTTTTGGTTGATAAAGGGAAATAGTGCCCTTCGGTGTTATACGTTATGTTGGAATACATTTGAAAGTATAAGTATATGAAAGTATAAGAAATACTTGATGTCTTTTTCTGGGGAATGAGGGAGGTGGCTGTTGAAGGATCTTATCCTTAACTGGTTTAGCCACCAGATGCTCAATTTTCTTAATTTTTTAAAAGAAAACTATAGTGCTTTGGGTCAAATATCTTGAGAAACCTGCATATGTAGTAGGAAGAGAGCCTTTCCTGTGCTAAAAAAATGGTTTAGTGGAATTTTTTTATGCCTGTAGAAATTCACCAGTTTTCAAAATTTGCTTGAAACAGTTCCTCGAAAGCTTCTTCTTTTGTAGAATAAGTGTTTTATGGAAGTATCTAAATGTTTAATTTTATTTATTTATTTTTTTGTTTTTGTTATGGTGCTTAGTTTAATGAGAGGCCTGACAGACTGCCAGACCAGAGGTTTGCATTTCAAAAAGACTGCCAAATTATTTAGAATTGGTTACTAATTAAGTTGTTTTTTTATAGAACAAGATTGTTAGAGCATAGTGGGTGTACAGTTTGTGTACATATGTATGCTAAGTAGCTAAATAGTTTGTTTATATTGAATTTTTTAAGATTTATCCTCTTCCTGTGAGGGAACAGAAGCCTGTCGCCCATTGTTGTCACTTTATTTCCACTCTGACAAATTATCTCTAGTGTCTGCAGCAGTGCTTAGATGAGACAAAATGTGAATTTTTTATTTAGAATTTTTTGTTGTTGTGTAGAACACTTTGAATAATTACCATTATTCTTGGAAAAGTATTTTACTGTAATGTTGTTGAGCATGGATATGTGATCAGGGTATGTAAAGTACATAACAAAGTGTCAACCCTTCTTCCTTTTAACCTTGTGTAAAAAGAAAAAAAGACTTGTTCGTGTAACATTCTACTCGACCCCCCCCCTCCCCCACCTCCTCCAGGCCACTGCCAGAGCCACCCCAAGGCTAAAGTAGAATAATTTGTTGTTTACCTGTTGCCATGACCTGCGGGAAGTCCATGGGAAGTCCCTTTCGTGAGGTCCAAGAGGGGGATCACAGTGCTGGTAATGTTCGTGAGGCAAAACAAAACCAACCACCCAACCAAATGGGAGTCTTTCAAGTACCAATGTTGAAAGCCTTGCGCCTGGAAGCAGAGATGGCCGCGACGGTGTAGCATCTGAAGATCTGGTTGCTAAAGTTGGTGGTGATAAAGCCTAGCAAGAGACTTTGCATTATCTTGGGTTGCAAAAGGCTTAAAAAGAGAAAATAAATGGAAGACATCTGTGCATTGGCAGCATATTGTGGTAGTTCATCCGGTGATGATGTTAATGTGAACTTAATTCCGTGTCCATTACGCTATGGTTATGTTGCTAAAGGAATTGGCATGTATTGGAGCTTTAAGCCTTTTAATTATGTTGATTATGCAGAGTGTGTTACTGGGCTTTTTCTCACATTTAGGGTTCAAGATGTGTTCATGTTGGGCCATATCTTCAGTGATAAGTGATTGGACCACACATCACTAGTATTAGAATGTTTTTAATAAAATATAAATGTCCAAATTTAAGCTGATTTATTTCCTAAATATATATATATGATATATTTCACACTGCCATAGATTTGCAGGAATATTTCCCTTTCCCTTGAATCAATTCTTAATGTGTCAATATATGCTATATTTTGGACTGCATTTCAGAATTGTGACCACTTGTTGCTTTGATTTACTATGGAAATTTTGAGGGAAAGATTGTTAGTCAAGTATGTTACTTGGCAGCCAAAAGTAGTTGCAATTTTCACTTTCGTTTTTATACTCTTCAATAAATATCGTATACAAATAGCATCTGAATATGATTAGATGTCCTTTTACTAACTGTACAAATCTCTTACATAGTTAATTATCATGAAGGTTGCCCCCTTGTGCTGAAGTGGCTCAAGGGCTCGTGGTACGTTCAGCGGGCACGAAGACGGTCAAAGTACCAGTAGAAGAGTCATTTTCTCTCCTTTTACATCACCATCCCAAATGCTCGCCGATCTGTGTGGATGGACCTTATGGTTTGACCCTTATTGCAAACCCGAGATACTAATGGCTCTGATTTTGCCAAATATAGGAAATGTTAGATTTTAATTTAAATCTTGGAAAAAATCCATAAAATATAGGTGACTTAATGATTTGTGAATTTGTAAAAAAAAATATGTCCACACCTTAGCATATATATTAAAAAAATAATGGATTTTGCTGAAAGCTAAAACGTCTCGGTTAAAGTATACGAAAGTTACTGCAACGATTTGAAAGAAAATTTAAGACCATATAGTTGAAAGGAGTGAACTACATTCATTGCTAAAATTTGCACACATGATATGATACAAGGAAGTCGACGAAAATGTACCGTGGAAAAGGCCTAAATACCCAAAGTCGGAATACACATTTATTTCGACTTTGGTCCAGACTTCCCTCGCCTCGAAGTAGTAATCCTACACTGAGTGTAACTCGTGATGTCAATGTTGTTACTCTGATAAACCAAGTCCAAACGATAGAAAAGTGCCCATCGACGAGCACTTGTTTAATGTCCATTGATTGAGGTAAATTGCCGTGCATACCAGTGAAGTGGTCATGGCCTTGGGTCGAGCGAACTCACCAAATGAAGCCGTCTGTATGTTCATTTGACCGTTGGCTACTGGGTATGGGTGGACGTCCCTGCCAGACACCATCCAAGATCTATGGAAGTATGTAGATCTTGTACGACGACTTATAGGCCTTGTCCGGTAAACTAGTGAACGGCCGAAGTTCGATGGGTACTGTTCGATTGTGTGTATGTGTGTGTGTAGGGGGGGGGCTTGGAAATGCTTTTAACTTCTAATGTATTATCGTTCGTTAATGTCTAGAGAACCATACAGAAATTCGTGTTTATGTACATTTCGGAAACATATGTGTTAATGATTATGCACGCTTATTCAAAAATAAACACCTTTGCGTTTGTGCGTACGCAGCCATCTACCGGCAAATTTGACCGTGTTGTTGTAACAGTTTTCATTGCTCGTTTTGGAAGTGAAGTTTGCGTACAGTGCTACTTGTGTTTCCGAATTCTCAGTGAAATCGTGACGATCACAGTGACGTTCCGTGAATTTCAATAAGCGTGTTCCAGCTGAGTTGGCCAGAGGTGAGTCGCTTCCCAGCCACCCTTCCCTTCAACCACAAGGTAAATCTTAAATACACAGTGTTGTGATTGCTGAAGTAGTCGGATAAGGAATGCGGTATTTGGGAAGGAGTTGGGCTTATACAGGGATTGAGAGGGGGTCAAAGGGTGGAGCTCCCAGCCAGAGAAATACGGCGATGGGGAGAGGGAATTTTGGATGGGGATCAGTCATTCGTTCGTACACTCTTTGGCGTCGGATCTTCCGTGACCGAAACTTGGCTTTGGATATATATTTTCATTTTCTTAGCTTTAAGAATGGCCCGGACGATTGAATCCCCTCCCCCTCCCCCCTCCCCCCTTCAAAGTTTTGGAGTTTAATTAAGGACTAGTAAAATACATCCAAATCTCTTCGTGTCGAATTTCAGCTACCCTTGATGTGCATAGCAACCAATCGTGTCCACAAGGGGGCAGAACACCCCTGGGTCAGTGATCGCTGAACGTACTGAATCCCCGGCGTTTTATTCACCGTTACCTGAACGATTAAGCCCAGGTGGTGGGTGTGGCAAGATCTATAAAAGTATATATACACCTTGGGTTGTGGGCACAGAGATATGCTTGTTTTACGCCCACGTGAGAGATTGGGCGCGCGCATCTCCAATGTTTGCTCTCGGTTTCCCCGTCTATGATATATATTTTCATTTTCTTAGCTTTAAGAATGGCCCGGACGATTGAATCCCCTCCCCCTCTATGATGTCACCTTCCTGTCACCTCCCTTTCAAATGTGAAACGAAACGATTTGGTGACGTTGACCTCTCGTGCGTTGAGCCTTTACACAGCTAAAGAAACGTATACATGTTGTTTGTGTTATGTTGTTCACTTCATTGTTTATGGAAAGCTTACATTCGTTCAGCCATTACAGAGACAACGGCTTGTTGGAAATTGAATGAAATGCATTTTTTTTAGAATTAGAAAGACAATTAACATGCATTTTTTAGAATCAGAAAGACCATTTACCTAAGATATTTAAAGGGCTCAACTGTTGCTGTAATATACCACTGCCAGTAATATATGAAAGATACTCGACAGGTTTTGAATTCTTACATGCTATTTTGATTACATTGTTTAAATCGCGCACTAATTGGTAGACATTATGAAAACCAGCATAAAAAAATTTAAAAAGAAATGAAAGAGAATCAAAACTTACAAGACGGCATTAAATATACTGCACCCTGTAGCTATTAAATATCGCTGGACAAAATATATGGCATGCTCCTCTTTACGTAATAAAAGCTAATGAACATGTGAGCAAAACAGTATTACAGTCAACGTGCAAACTTCGTGTCATGAGGCATCGAAACCCAACCGAAGCAACAAGGTGTTCGAGACGGAATATGAAACACGGTTGAAGCTTCGAAACTCCCTCCTCACCGAAGCAACAACTTTTCGAGACGGAATATGAAACACGGTTGAAGCTTCGAAACTCACCGAAGCTCTACAACGGTTGAAGCTTCGTGAAGACGGAATATGAAACACGCTTCGAAACTCCCTCCTCACCGAAGCAACAATCGAGACGAATATGAAACAGCTTCGAAACTCCCTCCTCACCGAAGCACAAGGTGTTCGAGACGGAATATGAAACACGGTTGAAGCTTCGAAACTCCCTCCTCACCGAAGCAACAAGGTGTTCGAGACGGAATATGAAACACGGTTGAAGCTTCGAAACTCCCTCCTCACCGAAGCAACAACTTTTCGAGACGGAATATGGTTGAAGCTTCGAAACTCCCTCCTCACCGAAGCAACAACTTTTCGAGACGGAATATGAAACACGGTTGAAGCTTCGAAACTCCCTCCTCACCGAAGTTCGAGACACACGGTTGAAGCTTCGAAACTCCCTCCTCACCGAAGCAACAAGTTTCGAGACGGAATATGAAACGTTGAAGCTTCGAAACTCCCTCCTCACCGAAGCAGCAAGGTGTTCGAGACGGAATATGAAACACAGTTGAAGCTTCGAAACTCCCTCCTCACCGAAGCAGCAAGGTGTTCGAGACGGAATATGAAACACGGTTGAAGCTTCGAAACTCCCTCCTCACCGAAGCAACAAGGTGTTCGAGACGGAATATGAAACACGTTGAAGCTTCGAAACTCCTCCTCTCACCTGAAGCTTCGAACTCCCTCCTCACCGAGCAGGCAGGTGTTCGAGACGGAATATGAAACACAGTTGAAGCTTCGAAACTCCCTCCTCACCGAAGCAACAAGGTGTTCGAGACGGAATATGAAACACGGTTGAAGCTTCGAAACTCCCTCCTCACCGAAGCAACAACTTCTCGAGACGGAATATGAAACACGGTTGAAGCTTCGAAACTCCCTCCTCACCGAAGCAACAACTTTTCGAGACGGAATATGAAACACGGTTGAAGCTTCGAAACTCCCTCCTCACCGAAGCAACAAGGTGTTCGAGACGGAATATGAAACGGTTGAATGCTTCGAAACTCCCTCCTCACCGAAGCAGCAATGTGTTCGAGACGGAATATTAACACGTTAAGCTTCGAAACTCCCTCCTCACCGAAGCAGCAATCTGTTCGAGACGGAATATGAAAACACGGTTTGAACTTCGAAACTCCCTCCTCACCGAAGCCAACAACTTTTCGAGACGAATATGAACACGGTTGAAGGAAATACCTCCTCACCGAAGCAACAACTTTCGAGACGGGTGAAACACGGTTGAAGCTTCGAAACTCCCTCCTCACCGAAGCAACAACTTTTCGAGGACGATATGAAACACGGTTGAAGCTCGAAACTCACCTCACCGAAGCAAGCAACTTTTCGAGACGGAATATGAAACACGGTTTGAAGCTTCCGAAACCTCACCGAATCCACATTGGAATTCCTCACCGAATCACATTATTTGGGTGTTCGAGACGGAATTCGTAACATGTTTGCTTTAACAATACCTTAAACCACTACTTTACATGCGCGGTAATAATACACCGATGATCATACACTATTTTCTCTAAGCAAATACACGAAATTCTTGAAAAAATGATAGCAATTCATGTTAAAAAGATGCAAGTAAAATATAGCTCACCATAAAAAAAGATAAACACACTAACTTCCATGGTCAGTATTTCATGTTTCTACACACGTCTGTGACACCAAATTACAAGAAGAAAAGCCGGGAGAGATAGCGATAACGATAAGAAGTGCATGGAGTCATTTCCATACAAGCGTTAAGGTGCTGTCACACTAGCACTTTTTCCGTCATTTTTTTTGGATAATTTTATTTAAAATAAATACAAACATTCTCGAATATAGCTCTTGATTTGACTATGCTTGGCTAAAAAAAAGTTGACGGAAAGGTTTTCAGACGGAAACGATCATTATCGTCTGACTGGAATATCGACAATTCGCTCAAAAATGGACAAAACTTC